AGCGAAACCCACGACAGCCGAGTTTAAACCGATACGAGCCGATCAGCAGTGCACGCGTGGACGGATCAGTCGTCATTGCTATTTTTAAGCTCCGTTACCTTTCTATTGCTTCGAGTAGCAGCCCTACCCTTTTGCAGGACATTTCCGTATCGAGCTCCGTTTCCATCCAGTTTTTCCCCCTCTTTCCCCCTTTTCTTCCTCTTTATTATCCTTCGAGATCCCGATCTTTTACGTTTCGATTGCGCCAACGTTCGAGATACGCGTCGTTGTCGCGTCTCGCTCGACCGATGTTTCATCGAGCGAACACGCGTCAAAGAGAGTCGGGAATTAAAAGAAAACGGAGAGGAAGAGGGAGAGCAAGAAGCCGAACGCTGACAAAAGATTGCTTCCGCGATGCATAGCGAGGGAGAGGAGGAGGAGGAGGAGGGCTTTCATTATATTTGCCGAATGCGAGGCGACTTCTTCATTTGCGCTCAAGAGAAGAGACATCCGCCGGCCCGTGTTTTGTCCCTGATACCTCGGCGAAGTGGTTGTTGCGGAGGCGCGTGGGCGACCGGAAACTCTCCCTCCCACATTCGCGTGCCCTACCTCCTCGAAGGGACTTTCAGAGAAGAACACAGCGCGAAGGGAGGAGGGAGATGGAGCGCCGAGGGAACGAGAGGAAAATAGAAAGCGAGGAAAAAGAGAAAGGAGGAGAGACAACGTGTATTGCCGCGGTCCCTTCGGCTCAACAACTCCTCAAAATTGCGCAGAATTTACGGAAATACCTCTTTATTATCCTCTTCCACCGGCGATTAATTATCTCGAGAATCACCGGTTGCTCGTTTTAATCGAGAAAGATCGGAGATGGGTACAGCCATGTTTCCACGTATATCGTTCCTCTTCCCATTTGGGTTTCTAGAGACTGTTAATTAAGCGCCACTTTCTACCTTCCTTCCTTCCTTCACGACACTTCGCACCATTGGAGAATTACGGGCTTCTTCAAAAGACGCTGTTCGATCATCGAAGCGCTGTGGACGAATCAAAAGTTGCGTCAATCCGTTTATTTACGGATGAAACGGGATACACGAGAGGTTTTAATTACGTTTGTTAGATCCGAAACGATGTCTATTTTCTCCGATGCCGAACGAAAATTGAAACGAAGCTTAATTGACAGGTAAATTTATCAGCGGCAGGATCGATCGACCCTTTCTCAGGGCCCTAGACCACTTTCACCCGAAATTTATTCCGATCTTAACTAATGGAACTCGTGCGTTCGGTCCCGTAATCGATTAGTATCGACAATGAACGAAAATGAGTATGAAACCTATCATTAATCCTGAATCCAATCCGTTAACGGGCCAATAACGGGTCACACGTTCGATCACAATGATTCGAATCAACCCCCTGGCTTACCGCTCTCTCTCTCTCTCTCTCTCTCTGTCTTTCTTTCTATCCACTTGATTGACGCTAAGACGTAATAATTAATCGTTAGATAATCGAATTGGAAAGCGAACGAAGGAAAGGAAAGCTAGTCATTCGTAACAGGCAAAAGAAGAAAAATACCGTTTGAAAAATGAAAAATTTAAAGAAAGGTAACTTTGAAATTCCATTTCTCGAATGTTTAGAACAATCTAGAGAATTTGTATCGAAATAACGCAAAGTTATCGGCCGATATATGTTTTATTAATATGTAGAATGGCGACGAGAAACGTGAAAAGGGTTAAGAGAAGAACGATCGAATAGAATGGAATAGAAATCTACAAATTGTTCTCCATTTTGGCCGGTTTGTGTCTCCCCCACCACGGTGGCAGGGTGTTGCGCCAGGTTTACCACTTCGTGAGCGCTATCCGGACACCTGAATCGAGAGGATTTTCACAACGGCGCTGCCTGACGCGAGAGAGCTCCGGCTAGGTTGTCGCGTGGGCGACCGGAAACCGTACCTTCCTACCGTCTTTGGTCGTCACTCGACGACTCCGCGGAGAAGGGGGTCCAGGGGAGAAGGGAGGAGAGAGAAAAGGCAGACCGACCGGCCAAGAACTGGCGCAGCTCTCCTTCAATGTTCTCCACAACAGCCAGTACCCACGGCCGAGGGCGGATCTGTCCTCATCGTCACGTAATGTTTTGAGGTACCAGGACCTACAGGGATTCCTACTTACCGCTTTCGATGTATATATATATGGGCTTAATAAAAATAGAAATTTCTCTCGGCGATTTTTCCGTTTCCGGATATAATATAAATTAATTAATGCCGTCTCTTGCTAACGTTGCGACATTTAATTTTAACGATTTAACGGTAATGGACTAATGAAATTTTTATGACGCATATACGTTACATGATTCTTCGTTAATTGCTCCTCGTGTTAAAATCATATTTCTGTTGATAAATGAATAATTCATATAAAATGTGTTTCAACGTTTCTTTTTTTTTTTTTCATATATATAAAAGATATAACTGGAAAATCGTGTCACTAAAATGCTCTGTGTAGAGGGATTAATTTGTAACGATTACCGCATAAAGAGTACCAAGGATATATCTGAAAACATGTCGAAACGCGTGAGATAGGAAAAAAAGGAACAGAGATAAAAAAATACTATCTAGGCTCTTCGGATGATAGAAAGGTGATGACCTCGATCCTACGCCTGCCGCGTATAAAACGCCGCGCCGTTCCCGTCTTGCACCTCGTTCCGCCTGTTTCTGCTTGCCTGTTCTGACTGGCCTGCCCACGCCTGCCCTTCTGTCAATTATATTTACTATTTCATTCATACGGCCGCCGCTTGGTCCACGAGCCGTGCCCATTCACGAGAACGGCCGCGCATGCCAGATCGCTCGCGCCCGATGGCTATCCGATAGGGTAGCGCCTCCATATATGATTCGGATGGAAGTGCACTGCGGGCAAAAATGTAATTGCCGTAATCTAGGATTATACGGTTGCGTAACATCGACGCCAGATATATTCTCTGCGTTTGTGAGCGTATATGTGTTTGCGTACCTTTTGCTCTCCGTACTGGGTTGTGTAATATTCGAGCTTTCAACGAAATGGAAACGATAACGTTAGATTCCGAAAAGCGCGCACGCCATTAATTGCTGGTGTTTCGCCTTGTGACGCATGCGCAGAACCTATGCGCAAAGATTCGTCGCAGACGCAGTTTTTCGTGAATCGTTGTTCACGTTAACACAGTTTCTTTTTATTCCTTTTTTTTTTTTTTTTTTAAATAAATAAAATTTACGTTGTCATATTACCTTGAAACGTTTCTTTCTTTACTTTCTCACCAACTCCTCTCAATACATCGCAGACCGTGAGAATTTTTTTCGGCTCCCAAGGGGTTCGCTCACTAATCGGGCGCTAATTTGCTTGATGCCGTAAGGAAACAGACGGGAGGATCTTACTAATTCGAGCCAGTAGACCGTAAAAATTCACTGGTTTTCTAGCACCGTATATGGTATTCTTGTTTAATAGAGAACGCAATCGGCTATTTACATGACAAATTTGTTCGCGGTCTCAATGAAAATTTATGCTAATCGATTTAATGTCATGGGTTCATGATTCGTTTTTAATGATTCAATCAAGATTAAGTATTGTAAGATTACACCTACTCGAATTCAAATGACACGGGTTACCCTAGTTCTTTCTATTTTTTATTATACATATTCTAATACCTGTGATAGATCCATAATATTAATTGACTCAATTTCACGTCAAAATCGATGATCGTCGATCACGTTTAGATCGATCACGAGACATTCTTTAAAGAGGCCGAGAAATTTTTCGTGTTCCATCGGAAGAGATGAGGTCAACGTTATTTTCTAATAGATGAAACACTCGACGAAACTACACACATACATATCTGATAGTTCGAATAATTAAGTTTCCACGTTGATTCTCGTGATTCCTATAAAGGCATCGGGTTCACGCCTACGCTCAATTCCTTTTCGACTCTTGTGTGACTAGGATTCCGTGATTGCAAAGCTGTTTTAGCGTTTAATGATGTTTTTTTCAACGTACGTATGTAATAAAACTTGTCAAGGATCATTATGATACTATTAATAAATGATAACTCTATATCTGATATATTTTTTTTGCATTCGAAATTTTGATTAACGTTTGACCGATGTAATACATGTAATACATGTAATCGTTGTATAATTTTACATGTTGTATAATTTTACGTGATACGAGTATTTTATGTTATAATTACTTCATAAAAATTTAATTAAAATATCAATATATATCATATCTACGTATATTTACTTTGATTTTAAATTTTTGTAATTACTTTTGTAACTAATTTTATATCGTTTGTATAACAATGCCATCTAGCAACAATAAAAAATAACAATATATAAAGTTAATGTTATCAGAAATCGGTAATGATGTACTCTACTTTATTTTTTAATATTACTTAGAATAAGAAGTTTTTTATATTTTTCATTAAAGAAGTTCTTAATAATTTCAGTATTAAAAGTTCTTTACAATTTTTAAATTATTCTAATAATCTGTATATTCTTACTTATATACCATACTTGACGTTATGCTTTTCATTCCTTTTTTATTTCATTTTTAATTCGTAACATGTATCCAATTTGATTGAATAAAAATTTTATCTTTAGATTTGGAAATCTCAAATTCATGTGTTATTTTTTAAAATTATAAAATATAATTTCATCGATCGCGATTAGAGGGGGCGGATTTTCATGCTCGATCGGTACAAACATCATTGTTCGCCATAATAGAAAATAACCCACATGTTGCCTCTCTGTTTTTGTTCTGTTACTCGATCAGCTGATCAACTATGGAGACTTCAATCCTAAACGCGGTAAGTGTCTTCGTGCTTTCTTATACGTCTTATCATTATGCACAACCAACAATTTTATCTTCGTTATATGTTAATTAATATATAAACGAACATTCTTTACCACGTACAGTGTTTCTTTGTGTAAGTTACTGAATTCGATTTTACAAAAACATGCGACTGTGCAAGTTACGTCGTATTGATATTGAATTATCGAATGTCATATGTTAATTTTCGAGAATTTTTTTAATACTATTTGTTCTTATTTTTTAGATTTCTTTGTACAAACATTGATATTATTTTTTTTCTACCAAAGGCACACGAAAAACAAAGAAGAGCAGATGCATTGTTGCAAGAAGGTCGTTTTGAAGAGGCAGCCAAGTGTCATGAAACAGTAGCCAGTCTCTTAGAAGAAGCACATGTACAACTTGAATCTAATTTTTTTAATTTGAAAACTTCCCGTTTATCTAGTCAACCACCACCATTCACACCATTTACACCACCATTTGTAATCTCTTCTTTTCAATCATTTATTACTTTGGAATCTCTTGCTCTTCAACGTGATTATCATAAAAGACAAGCTGCTGTAGTTAGGTAAGTAATAAAAATAATTCTTATTTTTTATAAAATATGAATCATAAATATTTATAAAAATTCTTATCCTAGAATGAAACAAGCTCAATACGAAGAGTACAAAGCCACATTGGAAAACCAAAGAAAAGAAATTCTTAGCAAACAAGTATCTAAACAAGTTGAAAAGGATACATCTGAGTTTACAAGTGATAAATTTGATGGGTCTCTACGGCAAGCTATATATAGAACAATCGAAGAGCAGGATAGCCTTTTAACTTTAATCTCATTACCTAATAGCGAAGAAAAAGCTTTTAAATATCCAAAGGATGCTAGTACCGTTATTGAGGAACTGAAAACTGCTAATTGCCAATTGCGTTGTCTAGTTGGTAGCTTGCTAAACCAATTGGAGGCAAAAGAAGAAGAAGTGAGGCAATTGACCGAACAACTTCACGCTGCTAACCTTAATGATGAAAGTAGATTAGACAATGCTTTAAGACTTGCACCTCTGCCACCTTTAACTCCTCTAGAAATGCCTCTTTTTGACTTTACGTCAACATAAAGTATTATGTGATGAGTGTGATTTTTTTTATTGAAATTTTTCATCAAATAAGATGTAAAAACGATTATACATATATATATTATATATATATATATATATATAAATGAAATCAGATCTGTAATAGTACAAAGATTAACGCGAATATTGCTGCAGTATTCAATTTCTTACCGCAGAATTTTAAAGTTTAAGTGTGCTATAAATATAATATTTTATAACCTTGATAAAAAATAATTATATAACCACACTGACGAATAGCGTATTAGTACTTATTCTCGTTCGTTTAGTATCATTCAA